TTTCTTAGTCCCCACTGCCCTCAAGTTGAATAAGTCAATCCTGTCCCATGTAGTGGCATAATAGGTCAAACTTCAGAGATCCCAAATTTTCTCTTTTCTTACCAAGAATAGTGCTGGCTATTCCTATCTTTGTAGTAAGCCAAATGTGCTGTCATTTGTACTTTAGACCCAGCTTTCCCTCTGGCAGGCTCAACTCAAAGCCTACTTTTGGGGAAACTAGTAAGCTGTCCAAGCTTCAGCTTCCAAAGCCCTGTTTTGGAGTTAATTCAGCTGATGCTGTACTTAAATAAAATTTGTGCTAAAGTTACATTGCTGGGCCCGAATGGATTCACCCATTTGTGTAGTCCCTTCCTCCTGAATCTGGGCTAGGACTTGTGACTTGCTTTAATCAACAAAATGATGCAGTGCCAGTTCTAAGCCTATGTTTAAGTAGGGCTGGTTGCTTCTGCTTTTTGCATTCTAGTGAGCTCTAAGCCACTAGCAAACAGGGAAGGCTGCCAACCTTATGGAAAAGGCACCACGAAGAGGAAAGGGCTGAGACTATCCACACAACTACATGGAGAAAGGGTGGGGTGGGTAGGGGGTGTCTGGCCTCCAGCTGAACTGTCAGCTGAATGCAGCCATTAGAGTGTGATCACCAGCAAAATCAGGAAAATTGCCCAACTGAGACCAGCCCAGGAAAACAAAACTGTGAACAAATAAAATGGTTGTTTTAAGTCATTTAGAGTTGTTGGTTACCCAGCAATAAATAACTGAAACTATGCTCACCTGGTTCCTTGTGTTTTTGCATAATTTGTTCAAACCAGAGAGAAAAGGAGGGGTATAGTCAATCACAATCCACAAAATTCACACAACTTCAGAAGATAAAAGTCTTATGCCCTTCCTGATATTAATGAGTCTACTAAACAAGTTCCAAGAGGACAGTCTTAATGTCTGTCACCTCAATATCGTACTCCCAGCACCTAGGAATATGTCTGGCACATAGTAGATATACCAGTATGTGTTGTGAGTGAATAGTAGGTTTAAGAAATATCAAGATTAAATCAATGCTAGTCTTCCTTATAACTTAGAAACGGACATATAGTTTTACATAATACATTCCCTAAAACATTATTTAAACGTATGAATTTGAAGTATATACTAATAAGAGCTATTAATGGTATATCTTTGTTTTTTTAATGGTAGAGTTTATTATGTAATGGCAAAAATCATGAAATATTATTATACAGGTGGAGTATCCCTAATTTGAAAATCCAAAGTCCTCCAATAAGCATTTCCTTTAAGAGTTATGTCAGTGCTCAAAAAGTTTCAGGTTTTGGAGCATTTTGGATTTCAGATTAGGGATACTCAACCTGTCTATACTTTGGAAATTAGATTATATGTCCCAAAAATACAAATTTTCTAAGACTAAGCTTTTATCAAGGTGGAAGAAACTTCATGTGTAAAACCAGAATTAAAAATCAACAAATTTTCAAAAGGAAATTAATACCTATATTTCACCAATGTACTTTTCCAGATAAGAAATCCACTTTTGCTTTATCCTTGACAAGAGGATAACTATTCTGTGGTAAAATACTTATAAATTTCAAAATCACCTACCAATAACGACTGCAATGAGGAAACAGACAAGTTCAAATCAACACAATAGAAAAGTTTAACACATTCCAAACAGATAAATTCAAACTCTTCATATATAGCCTTCAGCTAAAGTTCTGTTGTAGATGAAGACTCAGAAGTTTAGGGGGAAAAGAATATTGACCTAGGGACAAAAATATTGGTCTTAATTGTAGTTCTAATTTTGGCCACTAATTAGCCTCAGTGTATTCATCTAAAAAGCAATGATTACCTCCTGACACCTACTTCTCAGTAGTCATGAGAATCAAATGATAAACATATGCAGCCACTAAAAAAAAATATGTAAAATGCTAGACCAATGTAAGAAATACGAGATATTCTTAATGCCAGTAAAAAAAGAGTAAAATTGATCTATGTAAGTGTTTTTGTCAGATTTTTTACTCCATTAAGTATTAGTAACTAGTTCCTTGGACACCAGTATAAAGGGTGGCTTACTGAGTTTCCCACTGCTCATAATTATATCATGGTTTTATTCAAAGAGAAAACAAGACTCAAGTCTTTCTAATAATTATGGAATCAAAGTTTCTAGAGCTATAAAAGCTAAGAACTAATAACATGCTCCAGTTCCCTACTACCAAGGAGATAATCTTATAGGTGTAGAAAAGTCCTTTGTTTACTAATCAAACTGTGCTTTAACCAAACTAGTGAGAGTTAGCTACGTAAGCTTTAAAAAATTGAATAGGAATCTCCATTTCATTTATTTAGTAAAGTCTCTTTTTATTTGATAAAGGCTTCCTGAATAAACGAAAGGAGTATTCTGAAGGCATAACTTAATAGAAAAGATAAAAAACTTCTTGAAGTTTCTAATTTCACCAACATCACCTCTCTCCTCCCTTCTCCTCAACCCAAATTGAGAGATACAAAGACAGTACTAATCAAAATGACTGGTCTGATAATTGCTATTGCTCTCCAGACACCCAATTCATTCCTTTCCTCAGACTCACAAGCTCTCATGCACATAGAAAACAAGAAGGGTACCAACATTTCAGTTAAAATCTAAGACCCAAGAATCACAAACTGTGTAAGAACTGGAAGGAACCCCCTGAGATCATCAAGTCCTTACTGATGATGTCACTTAAAGGCAACAACTCTACCCAATGGACGGTAAATGAGTTGCATTACCTTCATTCAAGAAAGAAAACCATCATATCAACCAACTGCTGATTCCACTTTACCTACCTACTTACTGATACTTAAGGCAAATTGCTTAAACTTTTGGGGTAGTTTGTTCTGTAATATAACAGTAAATAACATAAGTTAGTAAAAATTCTCTGTATACTGTAAACCACAACACAAGTGTAATATTATTTATTTCTCTAGGTGTATATACAGTATATCTCTACAGTAGGTATTCTTATCACTGAATGGAAAAATATGAAGGTTTAATTCTTTTAAAAAGCACCCAGTAATTCTGAGAGCTGCCCCCAGATCAAGTGATTACCCGGTGGCTTTCATGGATGAACTTCATGTGGTCCATGGACTCTCCTACAATTATATGTTATATATGTAACCATAGGTACATACAGAAATTCTCCAGGCTAGCACATTTCTTTAGTTTCACCAAGAATTAGTAATGCCCAAAAGGCTGAAAAGTAACACACGTGCTGAGGGTAAAGCTTCCATGGATCTTCCTCAAAATGGTATCAATATTCTCCCACCCAACTTGGATCACAATCAGTTATTTGTACTTTCTTCATTTTCCTTCTCATCAAATTCTATCTATTCTACTTCCTTTCCATTCCCATTACTACTACCATAGCTCAGACTCTCACTACCTATGACCAAAGCAATTGAGAGGTCTCTAAATCACACTACCCACTTCAATTTCAATACATACTACACACTGCTACCTGATTAATCTTCCTAAAACAAAGTTTTAAAAATTGTTTCACTCTCAACTCAAAAGTCATCTGTGGAACTCCCACTGCCTAATAAATCCAAGGTCATTACCTGGCATTAAAAACAATCCATAAGCTGGTCCAAATTTTTACTTTAAGCTTTATCACCCTTTATCCTGGTACAAATAGTTTTGTTCCACCCAAACCTAATTACTTGACTCTCCTCAAAGGTATGAACTGTGCTAATCTCTTAGAGCCCTCTGTTTGGATTACCCTTCCCAATTTATCAAACTTAAAGGTATACTTCAAAACCAAGAAGCCAGAAGCTCCCTCCCAACCCTACCTTGCCAAATGAGATCCAGCTCTAGCTCCTTTGTATCTGAATTCTGAGAGGATTTTTGTATTGTTTATGAAACTTAACTATACATTACAAGGCAAATGAGACATTTGTGTATAGTACTACCCACCTAGCTAGTCTGTGAAAGCAGAAACTTCTAATCATCCTCATCTTCATATTCCCCAAAATACCCCAGTCATACAGTAGATGCTTAAAAATTATGCAAGGAAGTAAAAGAAATTTCAGCCATAATGGGGTAAACAGCAAAGATTACTATCTCTTTGAAGGCAGAGCCCTTATCTGTGATATCCTCTACCCCTTACAGGCTTCCAAAAAACATAACTCTTAATTACTGCTTTTCAAAATCATGATGTTGTAGGTCTTATAAGCAGTCCTGCATTTCAAAGGAAGAACTATTTGAAAATGTATTTAAAAATGTCAAGCTATGTCTCCAAAAACTACTTCACATACTTTACACTTCTCAATTTGAACAGCTCCCAACACTTGGCTACTACATTTTCAATTTTAAAAATATTAACCATTTATGAAAAGTGATAATTTCCAGTCACAGCTAATTTACTACTTTATGGTTTTTAAAAAGTCACAAAAAGAATGAGTTTCTTTTATAAAAGGTGCATTTTGCTTGTATAATACACACAGACTTGGTGAGACACGTAAAGTGGATTTATACAAAGGCATGCACTCCTGTAGAAAACTGCAGACAACTCTAAACCACGTATTTCAGTTAAAAACACCAAACAGGGAAAAACAAAGATTACTTTGGACATATTTTCTCCACTATTACCAGAAGCATTTTAAAGCAGAAACTCAAATCCTGTTGCACATTAGCCTACACAAAAAGATAAAAACTTATGAAATAGAAAAAGAAAACTAAATCAAGCCCCTGGGAAATATTTTATTCTGGAAGAGAAAAAAATGTCAAAATTACAACAGACACGCCTCTTCGTTGGTTAATGGAGGTTTCATATAATTACCAGAGCAAAAAGTATTCCAGATCCATAGACCAAAGAACGGACTGTGAGCAAAACTGATCACTTAAAGGCTGTAACAGGCAGGGACAACTACAAAATCTAAATACAAAAAGAAACAGAAAAAAGATGGCAGGAGAGGGTGCGAGTCACAAGTTAGATCCGAGGACTGGTAAAATCTGCAAGGTCACTGGGACCTACCAGGTCACAAAGGTGGAGGTGGGGGTTGTGTTGGGGGAGCTGCAGAGTCAGTGAAGAACCGGGAGTGACAAAAACGCGTCGGAAAAAGACATCCGAAGGCTGGCGTCCTCGGACCGGGACGGGTGACGGGGTGAGAGTCAGGGCAGAGGAGACCCGTCTCCGTGTTCGAGGGAGGCGCTGGGAGGGCGGAGAGGTAGAAAGGCGGCGCAGAGGACCTGGGAGCTGAGAGCCGCGTCTGCAGAGTCACGGAGACACTTCGCTCCCCTCCAGCGTCGTCTGCACGGGCCTGTGCCGGGGCCCCGCGGGGCAAGACCCGTGACCCCACCCCAGAAAACTCCCGGCCTTCGGGCTGGAGGCGGCGGCCTGCGCTGCGCGGACCGGCCCCGACGGCCCCTGCGAGGACCTCGCCCGGGACGGCGCCGGCTCCCGCGCCCGGCGGAGGCTCCGGCCCGCGCCCCGCCCGCGCCCTGCCCCGCGCCGCGGCGTCCTTACCCGAGCGACCGGTCGGCTCCCGGCAGCCGGGCGGCCACGGCAGCGGCACCTCCTCCTGCGGCGGGCGCCCTCACCCATCCGCGCCCAAGATCGCCATCTCGCAGCGGGCGCGGCAGCGCAGCCACCCAGGCGCTGGCCCCGGAAGCCCAGGCCGCCCGCAGCCGCTCGGAGCCCGCACGCCGCGCTCGCCGACACCGGCTCTCCCCCCGCCCCTCCCGGCCTCGCGCCTCCCCCAGCCGACCCCACGCCTCCCTTCCGCGGGTGCGCGCCGCGTGCTCGTCTCCCCGGCGCCGCGCCCTCAGCGCGCGCCTCCCCTCCGGCCCCGGCCCCGCGCGCTGCGCCGCGGCCGCCCAAAGTCCCCAACCTCGGACCCGAATCCGGCTCCCTGCGAGCATGCGCAGCGAGGGCACTCCGGTGCTGCGTGCGGAAAACTCCGCTCCGCCGGGTCTTCGGGGCGTTCGAGTGGAGGGGAGGGCCGGCCAATAGGAGACGGGGGCGGGGCCCGAACCCGTGGAAGGGGCGGGGCCGCCGAGCAGATGTGGGAGGGGCTACTCTAAACTCGCGCTGGGGGCTGCTGACTTGACTTTCCGGTCGGTGGCCAAACCCCCTGCACTGGCTCCTCGGGTGCTCGGGGCACTGGCATTCTCTAGAAAGCTTTGCGGCAAAAGTAGACTGTTGAGACATACTCCTTGACCTGAGTGTTTGACTTAGGACCCACTGCGAGAGTAAATAATTGCATTTAAGCAGACGGTGATACACAAAGACCTGTAGTCCATTTTTATTATTAATAGTTATTTACAAAACGTTCACTCCTCCAGCCCCTACATCAGCCCAGTGCTAAAGCTAATACGTAGTGAGCAAGTATATGTCGGCGCAGTTAATCCACACAATGACCCCATAGGGTTGTGTCTATTATCGCCATGATACAAAAGTTAACTGGTCTGGAAAAGCGCTGCTGGTTATGCATTTTGCTCTCAGAAGAAAGGTCACCCTGCAAATAGAGTCAGTGGTGACCACGTTACCTGCCAGACAACCCAGTCTTCTACTTCAAAGAGATAAAGGCGTGCATTTCTACAAGTTTTGCCCAACCACCTCACCAACCCCCACAAATTATACCTACATGCACACCTAAAGTTACTAGTTTTGCTGCTGTTTCAGTGGCTAGACGTCCCTGCTCCCTCCAAAGCGGCCTTCTTCACTGTCAGTTCCCTAAGACCCCTCCTTGGCATATTTTCAACTTCACTCTCTCTAATGGCTACAACTCCTCAGCATAATCACATTTTAAGATTTTTCTGTCCTAAATTTTCCCTTGATTTTAAATCTCTTTGCTAGTTCTCTCTCTCCTTCCATCATAACTAATGATAATCATAACATTATCATAACATAATCTGAGAGAATTGTGTACCTAAAACAGTGCTCACACTCCATGAGTATTTGTAGGATTCAGTAATTCTGTCTTGACTGAACAAATGCACCTTCCCTTCCACTCTGATACATTGGTTCTTCCCTTCTGACTTCACACCTGAATTTGGTGTACATTATATGCACAAAGATCATTCTAAAATATACATCTGAGCATGTCACTCCACTCCTTAAAATCCTTTAAGGATTTTAAGCTCTGAAGAGCTTTCATGACAAAGATTAACATGAAGTTCAACTCTGTCTCTCCTGTTTTGAAAAACTCTTCAGAGCTTCCTGTGTGTGCTCACTCATCTCTGTGCTTTCAACATGCACTGTTTCAGTTTTTCTTCACCTTTTTGCTGTTCAGTCCCTTTAAATAAATGCAACAACGTGCTTACAAACACCCCCAGTAATGTCACAATATCCCCAGCAGGGGCCAGCACTCCTGTCCTTCTCCACCCTGTATGCTGCCTCCTTCCCCTTCCTGATTTATTCTTGTGTCTCACTTTCAGCCCCCAGATTGCTCAGTTTCCCCCTCAGCTCAGCTCTGCAGAGAAGCTGTTAGTTACTCACCTAGTCCTAGTCTCTCCGTTGACACCAGTATTGAGCCAGCCTTTTGTTTTGACTATTTCTTTGGTTTCAAGTGAACACTATTACAAATAAATACCTTTTCATGAATCATTGTCCATGTCCTTATTTAGGTTAAATACCTAAAAGGAATCAAAGGGTATGAACAACTCTGGCCCTTTTAAAACACATTGGCAAGTTGCCTTCCAGAAAGAACATAGTCTCAGGTGTTGCATTGCTTGGGATTAAAACACAGCTCTGCCACCCAGGGCCACATTCTGACTTTCACAGGCCCTAGGCACTTTTACTTTTGTGAGCTTCTTCCTTGGTAAAATAATATTACAAATGATATTTTATAACTGTATTGGTATAAAGACAAATATATTAACTTTATATATTAAAGCATTTTCTTTAACCTAAACATTCTTTTTTTTTTTGCCTTCTGATTTTATAAAGCAATCAAAACATTTTTGTGGGTTCCTAAAAGTGTTGTTGCCCTGAGGCACTGTGCCCACTGTGCCTAATGGGTAACCCAACCCCGCCGCCACTTACAACCTGTGAGGTTTGGTCAAATAACTTAATCTGGTTGTACCTCAGCTAGAAAATTGGTACAGTGCTTCCAAATGATGTACTAAAAAGTAAATAAGTTGCTCCAAGTAAAATGCATAAAGCTACTTAACACATAAGCATGGCACATAATCAATAACTTACTGTTGTAATTGTTATCAATTTTCCTATAGCCCCATATGAGAGTATGTGGCTGTGCTTCTTCAATGTGCCCAAGTCATCCTGGTGTATTTTCACCTGGGTAAATATGGTAGCTTATTGTGTGTCCATTGTCCATTTTCTTACTGGAGTATTCAAAAAGGGCACTTTATATGATGTAGATATTGATCCTATGTAAAACTACTGGTATTCTTCATTTTTATTTCTTCCATTATTTTTTACTTCACAAATCTTTCCCACTCTGAGATCGTATAATTTATCTCCCTTTCTTATTTTTACTTGTTTGACAATTTTACTTTTTTCATTAAATAATTTGACCCTCTAGGATTTATTTTGGAGTGATGCTCTAACTTTCTTTCTAATAGCTCATGGTATTTCCTAGCCCATTTGTTTAAAAACATCTTTCTCTAACTCTAGTGGTTTTAAAACATGCTCACAAATTTTTTGATACTCCTCCCCTCAAAAATTGGAACCTAATTCTCTCCCATGTGAATGTGGGCTATAATTAGTGACTTGTTTTTAATAGATACAACATAGCAAAAATGACTTTGTCACTTCCAAGGTCATAAAAAGGCATTGTGTATCTCTCCACTCTCTCTCAGATCATTCACAGCTGCCATGTGGCAAAGTTACATCAAGCAGCTCAGTGAAGAGGCCCTCACAGCAAGGGACTGAGAAATCCTGCCAAGAACCAGCAAGGTCTGAGGCCTCGTGACAATCACCCTGTGAGTGAGACATCTTAGAAGTGGGTCCTTCAGCCTAAGTCAAGCCTTCAGATGATTGCATGTTGACTACAGCCTCATCAGAGAGCTTGGACCAGAACCATCCGGCTAATTTGCTCTCAAATTGTTTGCCCATAGTAACTATAAATGTGACATAATAAGTGTTTATTGTTTTAAGTCACTAAATTGGGGGATAATTTGTTATCCAGCAATAGCTAACAAATCCAGTAGTTCTCAACCTGGGGCAATTCTGCATCCCAGGGGAACTTGGCAATGGCCTAAGACATTTTTCATAAGGACAGGTGGAGAGCTGTTCTGTTGACATCTAGTGGGTAGAGGCCAGGATTGATACTGACCATCCCACAGTGCACAGGACAGTCCCCTCACCTGACTCAAGCAACACAGAATGATCAGGTCTGAACAGCACTAGCGGTGAAGATGAAAAACCGTGCCCCAACCTGTTTACTCTTGCACTGTAAAATTTTCTTTTTTCACTTGTATTTGTGAAATAGGTGGGGTTTGCTTCATTTCCATTACTCATTTGGATGCTGTTTCGCTTGTTTCTTAACCCTCTTTAGTATTCTCCTCATGCTCCCCTGCTAGTCAAAGCCTGAAACTCGCAGATGGATGGCATAGACAGCCGTGCCTTTTCGACAGTCTGCTGCTTCTTTGAGGATTCCTTTGACAGCAGTGAAGTATCCTGGCCTCTTTCCACGGGCCTCTTTCCTATTTACCTTTATACAAGTACCGCACAAGGTAATCATGTGTGTCAGACATCGGGGTTGAAAATAACTTAAAGCAATTATATTTTATGAAAGGAGGCCAGGAGTGGTGGTTCACACCTGTAACCCTAGCACTCTGGGAGGCCGAAGTGGGAAGATTGCTGGACGTCAGCAGTTCAAGACCAGCCTGAGCAAGAGTGAAGCACCTATATCTACCAAAAATAGAAAAAATTAGCCAGGTGTGATGGCGTGGGAGTGGTGGCATGTGCGCGTAGCCCCCAACTACTTGGAAGGCTGGTCACTTAAGCCCAGGAGTTTGAGGTTGCAGTGAGCTATGATGGCACCACTGCACTCTACCCAGGGCAACAGAGTGGAACCCTGTCTCAAAATAAATAAATAAATAAATATTTTATGAAGGAAATTATTTTTGGTGGTACTTTAAAAATTTGCCTGATTGAGGTTTTGCTTACATATACTAAAATAACTTCATTTAAATGGTACGGTTCAGTGAATTTTGACAAATGAATACAGCAGTGTAACTACCTCCACAACCCCATGACTATAGGACATTTCCAACACTGTAGAAAGTACTCTCAAGCTCTTCCTCAATCCAGCTACTCCTAGTGCTAGGCAACCACTGGTCTGCTTTCTGTTACTATAGAATAATTGTACTTTCTCAAGAAAATGGAATCGTCCAGTATGTACTCTTTTGTGTGTGATTTCAGCTCAGCATATTTTAGAGATTCATTCATATTCTTGTGTGTAGCAGTCATTGTCCCTTTTTTATTGCTGAGTGGTATTCCCCTGTATGGATTTGCTATAATTTGCTTATTTGTGTTCTATTGATGGATTTTTGCTTTGTTTCCAGTGTGGGGCTATTATGACTAAAGATTCTACAAACATTTGTTCAAAAGTCCTTGTGTGGACATATGTTTTCATTTTTCTTGGGTATATAATGTGTAGGAGTGAAATAGCAGGGTGATATAGTCGTATATTTAACCTTATATGAAATTGCCAAACTGTGTTCCAAAGTGGTTGGACCACTTCCATTC